AGGAGGAGGATCGTCTTCTGAAAAAATCAACATATTAATGCTCATAGGGAACGCCAGAGAATCTCCATACAACATAATTGTGTGTAGATCTCTAGTTGGCAGAACCACTATAGCAGCAAAAGAATAACAAGACTAACTTTCATATCATGCAGATTGTATTACTAAATGAAGCACATGCTCTCTATGTGCGAAAGTTAAATGACATTAGGCAAAAGAAACAGACTGAAATGTGTAAATGCATAGCATGATGGATAAAAATTTGTCCTGTTTGGTTATTCCTTTGTATATTTTGAGAATGTTGGTATTTTCTGCAGACCTATTGGCACTTAGTTCCAAGCCATCATTTGGTATTTGTATTACAAATTGGATTATTAATATCTAGTACACAACATTTTGAAGCAGTATCGTTAACTAATGATGAAATTTATGAAAAAGTACTTGATGTCATGAAGTGGGTCAATTTCATGTGTGTAAAAATTATTGCCACATTAGTGTTGTTAGAAACAACAATAGTTCTACAAGAAGTATTTGGCAAAGTTGTAGAACCAGCACTCGTATTGTAACCACATATTCCATTTAAATAATACTATCATTTCTGTGTATTCCTATCAGTTTTTCACAAGTTGTATTAATTTCTTGATCTGAAGTTGTTTGTTTCTTGTGCAATTTTTACACATCAAGAATGCTCAGTATCATTAAAAACAATGTAATCTGCACCAAATTGAGTTGTTTGTGAAGAAATTAATTTTCTAACCCAAAAGTCACAAAATAACTAGCAACAATGTCATTTACACATTGGAGGCAAGTAATCACATGACAAGCATCTTGTACCACTCTACCTTGGAAGTCCTTCAAATCTGTATCACATGACAAGCATCTTGTACTACTCTGCCTTGGAAGCCCCTCAGATCTGCAGCACAAGACAAGCATATTATACTATATGTACAAGTCTTGTAATGAAGACTAGAACTAGGAGATAGAACCTATGACAACTGGATTAAAAGTGTAAAATGTTACTGCTAGACCATCAGTGATGATAATGATGCTGTCGACAATACAGTTAACTGCAATGACATTGAATTTACGAGTACTCTGGAAAAAAATGATTCCTTGACTTTCATCCATTTTTAAAAAATATAATTTGATATAAAAATGACTGATTTGCTATATTTCTTTTTTAAAACTTTATATTAGTCTTGCAACAAAGCATACAAAAAAGACGTTGGTAACTGAAATATATGTTCTTAGTTGTCCATAAAGGACGTCCACAGATAATACCTGTTTTCCCACCAACCCCCTCTTCCCTTGTGGCTAACTTCCCCCGCCTGTGAACGTCCCCATCTAACGGGGCTGATATGTGAGCTATGTAATCAACATCAGACACTATGGGCCAGAGCTATGTATTAATGCCAACCCATTCATATATATTCTCTGGCAGGAGTCGTACTAATTGAAATGAACAATTAATTTATATTTGGGGATCACTCATTAGAGGAACATACTCGAATGCATGCAGTAGGCATAAAGCAGCTGTTAAACACAGAATATAAAAAATACTAGTGTGCGGACGTCCGCATGATCCTTTAACCAACACCCCACATCTTTGCGGACGTCCTTGATGGATGACCTGTACAAGAAATAGTGTAAAAGTTGGCAAAAATAATACATCACTTTCACAGGCATGAATTTTTTTTCGACAAATCGTGTATTATAAGTTTACCAAAACATTTATTGAAAAAATGAGGGAATCATAGCATATGACCACACATTTAAAGCAATACAAGATTTAATTATTATTTTAATCAAAAGCAGCATGCCTGAGAACAGAAAAATAGCAAAACATAGTGATCACTTTAGTAAACACAGTTTAGTAAGGATCCAAATTCATGATTTCTGTATTACAATAGAAATCCCTAATATAAAATCTATATTCATAGATATTAAATTAGTATTAAGGGACTGATCAATGACATCTACAAATAATATACTACCAAGAAAATTTGTGATTTCGCAGTATAAGACATACATGGCTGACAGACAAACAAACAGAAGGACAAAAGATTGATTACAATGAATGAATACAAATAAAAATATGCAGTAGATTATATGCTCTACAAGAATTCAGTAGTCATTTAAATCGCTTCTGTTCCCAACCTAATGTTAAAATCACTTCTACCACCCACTAACTCGTAGCCAAAAATTATGTATAAAAAATATGCTTCTTTAAGGGGTATTGCGTTTCGGTTAAAACATCTGACGATGGATCATATTTTTTTTTATTGCTTTTGTTGTGTGTTGGTTGATTTTGAAAATGACCAGGGATATGTTTTAATGGAACAGCCCTTAGATGAACTCTAAGACCAGAACAGTTTCTACAAAATAATTGGAGTTGTGCTAAGCTTTGCCTATGGCTTGCATTTGAGATTAAAAAGGGCACCTGTCATTTTGGGGGTGAATTGAAGAAATGCATTTTTCTAAAAAAAAAAAACAAAAAAAAACGACATTTCTGTATCTGTTACCTAAGCAAATTTCGTGGATGGCTTGCATTTAAATTGATATGGCTGTAAGTCTGTTTGAAAACTCCTTTTACCACCCCTGAAAATAGACTCCTTTGATGAGTTCTTGGGAGCATGACATTAGAAACCATGTACGCAGATTTACAATCCCTTTGTCTGGCACGCAATCATCTGAAAGGGATGAAACATTATGTATGTTCCAATTGACCGAAAAAGTATAATTCTCCACAAATTTTCTGAAAGGTTAATAAAATCACAGATAAGGTGTATTAAACATGTGGATGCAGTACTGTATTATCATTTATCAATAAGCTGTGATTGTTACCTACAATTGGTAAACAACAAAGAGGTTTAATGACCCAATTTATTAACTATAGGTTAAGTCCAAAGAGTGGACGATTTGATCTCTGTGCATTTAACTACTAACACCCCATCTGTGACTAGCTAAAACAGACATTATTTATACAATCATTGGTTACAATATGGTCATGTTATTTAGAGTCTCCACACATATAATCACATGATCAATTGATAACTTTAACGTACCACTAGAATTTGACCAATCAGAGATTAATGTGTGACACCCCCAAATCGGCCTAGGTGAATCGGTGGTATCTAACTTACTATTTTCGTATACGATTTGTCGAATTCTCTTATTTTTGGACCGATTAATTCCTGATTATCAAGACAAGTATTGTTTTTTACGCTTTGGTCCTTGATTTTGATTTCCAGATCAGGAATGCAGATTTTTTTAAATATGGATCATTTTAACAGTAAAAGTGAGTATTTTAGCTGATATGCCTCGACTGAAATTGAGCTGTGAATCGAATTCAGTTGACATTGAATTATGTTCAGACAGCAAGGTTTCAGGATAAAGAGAGTCCAGATATGCAAGCTCTCTCTCTCTCTCTCTCTCTCTCTCTCTCTCTCTCTCTCTCTCTCTCTCTCTCTCTCTCTCTCTCTCTCTCTCTCTCTCTCTCTCTCTCTCTCTCTCTCTCTCTCTCTCTCTGTGAGTGTATGTGTTTGTGCATATATATATATATATATATATATATATATATATATATATATATATATATATATATATATATATATATACGCTTACTAGAAGAACAAAGTAAATTAGGGAAATTAATATGTACTGTGAAGAATTAAATCCCAAATAATTCTAAATCACAGGTCAAAAAGCATAGAATGTTCTTAATCAGTATTTGCATGGTCAGTTAAAGTCACTGAGAAATGAACGCCTCAATTCCAGGCCTTGAGAGTCATTGATATTTCACCTTGGTCATTGTAAGTTTGTCACATGGGTCCTTGAAAAGATATTCTGTCATAGTATCAACCATGCATGAAGAAGATTTACAGTTGCAGGTTTAAAATATGAATACCTAGATCATCCAAACAAGCTCCATCCCAGCTCAATTTTTTTATCTTATATGATTCACTTTGGCAAATAGGCATACAGTCTGACGATGGTGATGGCAATTTATTTTAGTTGTGAATTACATGAGAGTAATGGAGCTAGAAAAGTGTTTTAAAAAAAGTCAGTATTTTAGCTGGTATGCCTCGACTGAAATTGAGCTTTGAATCGAGTGGGTCACGCATGTAATCAAGACTGGAACTGATGTCGTTTTGAAAGTTAGAAAATATGATAGACTGCAAATGTATGTCAAATTTTTGTAACAAAATCGGCACACTTTAAATCAAATTCATAAATTTTACATACACTGGATATGTAATTTTAATAGGTCTTATTAATAGCGTAAGAGGTGTAAACTTCTGGACTATTTATTTGGCCTTAATCTATAGACTTGTAAAGATCGATGAACTCCTTATTTTTGAGGAGTGTTTTAAAGTATTGATTGGATATTTTATTTACTAAGTTTACAGGAACAAATGAGGGGAAGAAAGTATAGAAGCTAATGGGAAGTGCTAACATCTGGGTTACAGTGACTTTCATTTTAACTATCGTTTCCCTTTCATATTACATTATTTATTTCAATATAATTTTTGTATTTGTTTCTTGTAACTGAAATTAGTAACTGAAGCCGAACATTTGAGACTGTGAGTAGTCATTAAAAACCGAAAATTGGTCATTGAAAAGTCATCGAATTTCAGCTCCCCTGATCTGAACCCTGCAGAATTCCATTAGTCACGAACGTCCTGATGTACCACACGGATGCGATCCACGGTATTTTTGAGATCTTAGTAATTATACAATGTGTTAATCCAAAGCCAATGAAGAAGTAATTCCAAGGAAAAATTGAAATAATTCCTCCTGATTTACATCTTAACTGCAACATCTAATAAATGAATTCCAGGGAATGAATTATTTGCTTATTGAGTCCAATTTTATACACATTTTCACTTGACCTAGATGCGAATCTTTTTGGCGGAAAGTTCCGATCAAATTGTATACCAGAAATTTTTGTTATTTCTGAAAAAAAAAAACTGTCAAAATCTTCTTGATAACTTGAGATTTACAACTCCGTGGCCTAGTGGTTAGGGCATTTGCTTCAGATGCTAGAGGTTGCAAGTTCAAACTCCAGCTGAGTCATGCCAAAGACTTATACAAATTGGTACTTTCAGCTGCCTCACTAGGCATTGGACATTAGGAGGTTAGTGTTAGGACTAGTCGGCCTGGTGTCAGGATTATATGACTGGGTGGGACATGATGCTGCATGTCTTTGGCACGATGCCCCAGTGCTAGACATCACTCAGAACAGCCACTGAGCAGACATCATAGTGCTATGACTGAAAAATTGTTCAAGCTAAGTTAAAAATCCAAATCACACATACACAACTTACAGTTAGGAACTAAAGTTTCTTGGGTAGATATATTTACAATTGGCCGATACTTTCAAGAACACTTCAGTCATGAATTAATTTTAAGAATACAATATTACACAACATCGAAGATAAAGATCAGTCTAATAAAGTTTTTACATATTAGTTAAATAATTAAATTACATTGAAGATGTCTTATGAATGACATTCGCCTTAAGTATACGAAATAAAGCAACAGAGTACTTCTGTACTAGTGAGTGTGCATATGCAATCACATCATTTTTCCTTCTTATGTGTCTAATGTTGGTATTATAGTCTTGCAGCATCAAGCTCTTATCGTAACAATCTCATTTTTGTATTTCATTTTGTCAGTGAAAGTAAGGGGATTGTGATCACTGAATACAATTTGAGAAGGAACCAAACTAATACACATTTCAGAATGTTGCAAAGCCGACATCAAAGCTAAACATTCCTTATTGATTGTGGGAAACTTTTGTGTGCTTTGAATGTTTGTTTTTTTTTTTTAAATAGTGTACTGTGTAATCAAAGCCATTTTTATCTTCTTAAATTGTCACTCCACCAGCCATACATCAAATACCAGTTGTCAAAGGCATGTGAAGTAGCAACAACTAATCTGCACTCTATTCAATCAGAAGTGAAATTAAGGTATGACAAATACTCAGGAAAGGAGTCAGCCTCATCATAAAATTTCTGCATCTCTTGCCCATACCACAAAATCTTTCGGGGCTAAATTTTATGGTCCTTGTACAGTAGAAGAGGGTCAATGAAATAAATTATAGCAACACTCCTGGTTGGTGGAAACGGAAACAACTTTGTCATATAAATTTGTTAAAGGAGTACGTTGAGAAAGCAGTTAATTATTCGATCAGTTATACCATACAAAACTGAGGATCTGAAAAGATAACAAAAATCTGAAATTTTTTTCAAGACTCAGTAATACAAATCTAGCAGTAAATTTATGTAGAACTAGTTTTGCTGTGCTTGTGTCGCATTTTTTTTGGACATGTTATGGGACAAGGTCAAGTAAAACCTGTAGAAATTAAGGTCATGGCTATATCTGCATTCCCATTGCCTATTAGTAAAAAAAGCCGATGCGATATTTTTGTATGACTAGAAATTTTTGGAAAAATTATTGAATCTGACAAAATTGTTGTGCAAGAAATCTGTTTCATTGCTTTGACAAATGTCAGGAATTAGTGACAAATTAATGGCCATACTTCAAAGCGTACCATTCTTTAGGCTCCAAAATTGCCACAATTGCTTAAATGGCAAAATATCCAAACAAAAACCACTGAACAGAAATGTTCCAAATTTGACCAAAAAGAAACCCTTTCAAATGTATGCAGTTGATCTATTATCTGCCATCAGATATAGCTCTTCATATTAAAAATACAAAATGTAAATGATTTCTTTTTGACAATAATTAAATATTATTTGATAAAACTTGACAAGTGTCTATGATTTGCTTTAAGTTTTCTATATATTCTGTCTTCTTTGACTTTGACACTTTAAATTTTTGGAATAATATTTTTTGCACCTTCCTTTGATGTGGCAGTAGTAATTCATGGAAATATTGTCACATATTGGGCCTGTAAACGCACATGGGGGAAATAATATGGTGGCCATCTTGGATTGGGCGGGGGGGGGCAAAGTGAACTTAACTCTAGTCCATTGGCTTAATATGGGCAGGTGTGGTTTATCATTTGGTTTTGTGGGGTTCAGTGCCATTTTGCAGCACATGATAGGCTATACATAGCAGCCAGTATATTTTGGTGGAGAAAAACATTGGAAAGAACTACCAATCATGATTGAGAAGTTACTGGCAAGCTTTCTCACACATGCAAGTCAAACCAAGATTTAGACGTGTACAGATAGAGGAGATATGTGAATGATCTGTAAAAGTGAGTGTCTTGGATCAGTTTCTACTCTCTGGCCCCGCACAAGGAAAATACAATGTTAAAACTATCTACTTATCAAGAGTGACAAGAACTGACCAGCACTAGCAACGGCACTTACTAATCTGTTGTCTGACTGACAAAAACCCATTTCTCCTGACCAAAACCTATATATATATATTGACAATTATGTCAAAAATGTTAGCATAATGTCAAATTTTCTAGCAAACACCCATGTATACTAACCATTTATATATGTTACTAACCAACAATAACACCTGTAAATGAAGTGTAACTGTAAGATATCAATTTATGAGGTAAGGTAGCGAGGATTTGCGTTGTAGGCAGAATTTCTTACTATGACCTCGAAAGAATCACCCGTTTACAGAGCAAAAAGGATGAAGGGGATCCATGTGAAACTTTACTAGTATGCATCCATGCAAAAAGACAGTCATTTAGGTAAAAAGTTGTGATCTATAGAAGTAACCAACAAAACCGTCATTTAACTACTACTTGCGGCATAATTGTTTCATTTGACAAGCCCAACAATGATAGTGCACTGCTCCAACTTTTGTGATTGTACACTGTGGTAGTTATTGATTACAGGACCAACCTATGTACATGAGTGTCAGTACAGTGGTTGCCAAGCACTAGTGTGATAGATATTACGCCTGACCAAAATTCTCTTGTTTTATTAAGTCAGTTGCCACCTGTATGGAGATATGCTGTTACGATAAATTGTTGTTGTTTTTTTTACATGCCGATCTGAAAGAGAAATAATGATTTCTTGACTTAGCTAAGTCAAGACAGTATTGTATATTGATTGCATTCATGATTGAATGCCAACACAAAAAGCTATTCCAATTGTTTGGCTTGTGAAAGTGCCACCAAATATCTGAAAGAGCCATCATTATAATTTCAAGACAATGTTTACACAGTATCATATAGATACGTATAGAATAAGTCGTAACATATTAATTACAAATGGTTTACCTTTTATATTGGCTTTTTATAGGAAGAGTGCAGTTTTTATGAATATTTTCCAATCAATTTCTTAATTTCAGATGCATTTTCACATTTACTTGTTATGTTTAGTCAGTAGCTCAGATAGCTGAGGTGTCATATTACCAAGAAGAATATTACTGGCTTGAGTCCAACTTCCAGAAATTAATATTTGTTTTAATATTTTATTAGACATTGATGCTCTAGTTGGTTAAACAAGGAGACATTAAAGCAAGTATGATGATGTAAGGTTGATATGTTGCAAGTGTGAGGCACACATAAAATATTTGAGACATACATGCTTGGTAACTCGCGCACTTGCTTATAGTGTGTTTTGTTTTTGGACCCCGATGTGCACAAGTTATTGAGAAAGAGGTGTAGTTTTAATAACCTCTGGGCCTTCTCTTTGTTGTTTGGCACGCTGCCGGAGCTTAACCATAACAATTAATGTGCAACATATTACAATTTTTCGATTGTCTATGATCTCAAAGATACTATTTCACAAGCACAATCCAAGTGGTGATATATCATTATAGGTCAGTGGTTTGTGTGCAACACCACTAGAAATATAAAATCACTGTTTTTCTTGAATGCGTCAAAGACTTGTCAGATAGGCCCCAAAGATATTATAGGACTTTTAAAAAAAAAAACCCACGTAATTGGAACATATTGATAAAATGAGTTAGGAATTATCATGGAATATTACAAACGGTCGCAAAAGTTTCAAAGATATTTCACAATTGCGAATAAATGCAGAGGAAGATCGCACAGTGCTTTGAGCAAATACTTGCACAATTATTGAAAGCAGTAACAGATGATAGAAATAGAAGAAAAACCTGATCCAATTGTTAAAATAGTCGAACTCGTTAAGGATACCGTTGACAAAAGCGCCAAAAGATATAATTTATACATTTGAATGCCACTAACAGTCAGGTACAATTTAATAACAATTAATAACAAAATAAGACCCGCAACATTTGACCGCTCCGGTGGCCTAGTGGTTAGAGTGTTCACATCAGATGCGTGAGGTCGTGGGTTATATTCCAGGTTGATTCAAACCAAAGACTTACAAAAATGATACTAACATCTGCCTCGCTTGATGCTCAACATTAAGAGGTTAGTGTTAGGACTGGTCGGCCTAGTGTCAAGATAATGTGACTAGGTGAGACATCATGCTACATGTCTGCGGCATGATGCCCCGGTGCAAGACATTATTATAAACTGCCACACTGCAGACATCGTAGCAATATGGCTGAAAATTTTTTAAAGCTACATTTAAAATCATAATCACATTACATCACACCCTCAACATTTAATGTCTTCGATTGATATTTATGGATGCTACTCAACTGAACGCAGTGCTAATGTGGAGCTGAGCACGATTGCCACCGCCATGGATTTGGCCGAGTTTAGAAGTCAGGTTTTTGCTGATATTTACCCTGGCGAATTTGTGATTTTTGAACATAAAAAACAAAAATTAGAAAAGACTAACCTGGAGACTAAAGATAGAATTGTCTGGCTGCAAGGCATTGCCGCACAGAACTTGACCATGATCAGCGAAGTTGGGAGAATCAGTGACGCTGGTGTGTTGTTTGCTTGTGTCAAAGACTACGTTGACACAAATACGGTATTGAATGTGAACATTCTGATAATGAAATTAGTGGAGACCTGATCAGGAAAGGAAACCTATTTCATTAGGTCCTAAAGGCAATCAATGATGCTGATGCTGCAACAAATCAATAAGTGGCTCTAAAATTAACTAATAGCAATATCATGACTGCCAGCATTAAATTTGGATACAGATGAGAACAATCATTTCAACATAAATTGGTTTGTTTTTATACAAAGATGG